GCCTGAAAGCAACATAGAAATCATGTATTTTATTGACCCGAGGGGGACTGAGTGCCTATAGCCCCCCTCTTTGAGTACGCCTTTGTGCGGGATGCAGTGATTAGTGTGCACTGTGCAGTTATTAGAAACCGTATGCTATCTTTTTAAGTTTCTCGGCATGCGCTCTTTCTGGGATTTTTCTCTTGAGCGCGCTCAGTTTAATTGGTTCGATTAACGTGTTGAATTGAATGAGAGGATGGAATGGCATTCAATGGTGTGATTAATGAATAAATGTGGTTTTTATTTTGCCAATTTTCCGGTTCAACTCCTGCCGGCATTGTCCAGCTAAATCCGCCTTTTCTTGAAATTAATTGCTAGAATCTAATTCTTGTTCAATTCCGATTTCCGTTTATAGATTTCAGTTCAGGGTAATTTTAGATTTAGTGGCCGTTTTCATCATTGTTATATAGTTGCGCTTTTTCCGCGCATTACATCATATTTCAGAAACATTTCAAATAATACTTTCAGTTTTTATTCTTTTTTATTTTCTTAAATCCTTCCATTCGTTTTTGCGTTTTTTCTAACTCGTTTTACTTTAGCAAATGCATTTGCTATTTTCCCAAAGAAATCTGTCAATAACTGATGATTTAATAGCCGACAAAGTGCAATAGATTTTATGAAGAAAAATATCGAAAATCTTAAGAAATCTAATTATGTATTAACTTTGGAAAGTTGAGACCTTATAATATGTGTTTGAATTTGAATTTGAATTGAGAAATTAAATTTCGAATCAATTTTTAAATTCAATACAGCCTTTAGTAGCTAAACAAATGTTTTCTTACCAATAGGACAATTTTAAAATGTATATCTTATTTTATATATATGAAGGTCAATTCGCGGATTTTTATCATAATAAATTCTATAATTATTTTTTATTTACACTTAGACCGATTATAAACCGCTGTCGGTTTACTGTTACATGTACTAGATTAAAGATGGTGCATTAAGCTGTCATTTTAAGGTTGAAAACATTCATGCAAAACATGTAAAATTTCAATACATTTTTAGAAAATATTTTTGCAATATTTCAACTAATATATGATAAAATATCCCACCTCTCTTTAAAGCTGAACCAATTCTAAAACCGGGTTTTTTTTCTTCAAAATCCTGCCTCCGGCTTGAATCTGGATTCTAGAATCGTCACGGTCTGTAATCAAACAAACCTAGATACCGGATTCAATTCATATTTACTCATGCCAGACAAGCTTAGGTTTAAGTCAGTATTTTAGCAACTTATTGGAATTCATTCATTTATTTATTCCAAAATATCTCCTTTTTTATATTAAGTTTGTCAAGAGATTTATTCTTTAATTAAAAAATGTGTTCATGAATTTGTTTTAAATTGGGGAAAAATAAAAGGGTAGTTGATTTTTTAGAAGGGGGGGGGGCTTTTAAAAACTTGTATACACCTGGAATGTATATACAATTTACAATTAACGTACATCCTGTAATAATTTTTTTACATTTCAAATTAATAGCTGTGAATGAAATGCATAGGATTTAAATTCAAAACCAAAATGGTCATGTTACATTTGATGAATCTTAATTTATTGATTTTCATATTTATGGCTTGTTTGATTTGTATATTGTCAAGATATTATGATTTATTAACTGCAGGCCGAATTTGAAGAATTTGAGCCGCGGCTCAAATATGGTTGGTTCCCCTTAAAATTGTATTCAATGTTTCAAGATTTAAGCCGGAGCTCAATTAAAACCAGTTTTTGGCGGATTTGAGACGCGACTCAAATTTATTAAATACTCAGTTTGATTTATTGCGTTTTTCTTTAATTGTTTGTTTTGTAAGTGATCAATGATTTGTTAGAAATTACTAATGAATTGATTTTCTTTCAGGCGTAACGTGTTCCTATTAATGTAAACAACCAAAACAGAATCCATTTTGTTTGGTTCGGCTGGGTTTGGTTTGGTTGTTGAGCTTGGCATGATGTGAAGCAAAATGCCGGGAATAGACGTTAAAATGGGGCCTTATGGTGGAGAGAGGGGCCCTCAGCTGACTCAGGATAGGTAGAAATCATTTTTATAATTTTTAGAGTTTTAGACTCAAAAACGGATATAATCGATATAATTTTAGTAAGAAAGAAGTTTAAATGATAATTTACAATTTTGAAATGAAACTAAGCATTAACACATTAAATCGTCATTTATAATTCTAATGGCCGTGCATAACAAAAGTTTAATGTGCTGATTAGTGTGTTTAATCTATAAGATCTAAATAATACAATTAAAACTCTAATGGTTTAATTTTTACGCACCTTTAATGTTGCCGACGAAACGATGCAAACAATTTTATGGCCTAATAATACCTAGTCCAACGAGTACTAAAATAGAAAGTGCAATGAAAAAAAGGTATTATCATGATTTAACGGATTTTTAAAAGTGATTTTTAGGATTTTTTAAACGGATGTTACATATATCATTACAATAGGAAAAATGTAATAGAACTAAACGTTTAAATGTCTTTTTTTTAAGTGAAAGAAGAAGTCAAATCTTTTAGGAAAGATTCTGCATTTAAGAGTTGCCAAACCAAACTGAATTTTAATGTTGAACAAAAATATTCAGTAGAATTTTTTTACACCTAACTTTGTTCTCTAATTTCTCCACGCACAAGTTGTCAAACATGCAATAATTTATTGTTGCCACACCCCTATATCTAACAAAAACATATTTTCGAAAAAAAAATTCGACATTCATGTTGTTTTATTATAAACTTTTTTGACTGTTCTTATAGGAATTCTTTAACTCTTTAACTTAGAAAGATACTCAAGAAACCCACAAAACAAAAAGTACGCAAAATGTGTACTGTACTCTCTGGGAGGAATGTAAACAAAAAGTATACATAATTTAAGTTTCCATTTATTTATAGAATTGCCCGATTCACACCAACTATCTTTTTCTAATCAGGATAAACAAAATATCTTTTTTTTAGCGTTTTCTTCATCATTGTAGCTTTTAAATTAGATGGTCCCTTGAAATTACGCCAACAGTTCCTTTAACGAAGCATTTTTTTCAGGTATAACAGTGAGGACAGCTTGGAGGACAATCAGTCCTCAACCTCCAGTACAGAGAGCAGCAGACAATCAGACTTCGTCACATCCATCATCCTATT